TTTATTCTATATATTCTAAGTAAATCTTCTCATCTATCTCAACGGTCCGCAGGTAGTATTTCATACTTTTCTATTCATAATCAAATATACCAAACCTTCACAAATTTTACTTCACAAAGAAAGTGTTCAATAATTTATATTTTTTTTCCTTCTTTGCAATCCATTTATTTTTATTACATATATATAAATTATATTATTTTTAATATTTCACACGTTAAACATTTCAGGAATATATACCATCCCGTGCATCGCACGGGTACTGTACTAGTTATTAATGAGGTCAAAGGAAAGTTATTAATGAGGTCAAAGATGTCAAATTACAAAAATTAAGGTAATCCAGTAAAAATTCTTGAAAAGGAGTATTAGTTGAAGACAAAATCTAGACAACTCTAGAAGTAGAACTCGGTAATTGACAACGACTGTCACAATTAATTATTGAAAGAAAAAAAAAATAGAAAAAAAAAAAAAAAAAAAAAAAAAAAAAAAACATATTTTGCGATCAATAAATTCCATACAAAACTTAACGGGTCCACCTCAAGAAAAGGATTTTGAGAGAAGATAAATTGCTTACCAAACAATCCTGACTATTCTTCTTAGCGGTAAATACAAGAAAGAAGGCATTGTAGGAAATTCATCTCTTGTTTACTTTCTAGGTTTTCATTTTCCAAAAACATATTTTTTCATGAGATTATTGATTGCAGATTCACTGAAAATGGTGTTCCTATGGCTATATATATAAATACTAAAATCAATTATGAAATTTGCACAATAACATAAAATATTTTTTTGATACTTTATTTAAATGGGAAATACATAGTTAATGAATCATTCATTCATCCTCTTACTATTACATACTTTCGTTAATTTTAGGACAGGCCTTTTATATTTAAAATTCTTGTATAGTTTTATATTCATATTTTCTACATAAATTTTTTAAATCCATGTGGTAGGTATTTAGATATAATTATCTTATGGTAGCTTGATGGAAACAATTTTCATGTATTATACATGCACAAATATTTTATATGGTAATTTTTAGGTCTATTTGTTATTTTAAATGAAATTAATTAATTGATCTAAATTTATTACATTAATTATTATAATTATGCAATGAGAACGTTTACTCAAATATTATTAAGATTTAAAATATAATAAGTAATCACAATTATAATAATTAATATAAAGATAAAAATACAACAGAAAACATATGAGTTGAAAATAAAATTAGCTCTAATGATTAACAAATTGAAGTTAAATATTACAGGAAAAATTATCTTACTTAAACATATAAAATTTCACAATTGCAACATACAACTTTGGAAAATAATATTAAAAAATTCTATTTACACGACATATAAGAATCTTATTTATTTTAGAATTGGAGGAGATCTAACAAAAATCATATTTATTATATTAACGGAGCCATCCGAGTATTGTGTGATATATGGATGGAAACATAGAAAATAATTTATATTTATATAATCCATTATAAACAAATATGGAGGGTTGTTCACGAAAATGAAAGGAATAGTGAAACGTGGCATCTATTGATAGGTCAAGTGATCTTTGTTTAGACAATGACAAAAATGAACAGACGTTTGAATTACGGCAAAATTCCGAAGGGTAAGAAACTAAACGGCGCCGTTGAAGTTGCACCCTTCCTTGTTAAACAATTTTCACCTCTTCTTTCTCTCAAAATTTCCTCAGTAACCGTCGCTCTCTCTCTCTGTGACATACTGGTGCATTGAATGGAGCAGAGTAGTTGAAGAAAGGTACTGTAGCATCAATTTTTTTTTTTCTTTCATTTTGTTTCTTTTCGGAGGCCAATTTAGAATAGAAGATAATTTGTGCTTTGGTTTACTTTGTTGATGATTGCTGTTGTTTTTGGTGCAGTATGTTATTCCCGTATGAATATGCGTGAATTTATTCGAGCTCTTGTCAATTTATGGGGGAACAATATCTAATTACGTTTTTGCATATTGTGCGTTATGGATTAATGTTGAATNTTATTAAAGTACTAATTTGTTTAGAAAATTGTATTTTTTTTCCCTCCGATAGATAAGAATTTCAAGAATAAAATCCGATTTATTTGACTTTTCATTTCTAATGAATGTTATTCAATGAAAATGTAAATTCCCAAGATCTTTTGCAACCTCTGTCTGATTCAGTTGTTGACTTTCAGTTTCCTGAAGCTGTAGCTGCGTTTGGTTTTGTTTATAGGAATCAAAATGTTCTTCCAGCATTTCCTGATGATTACATTCAGATGCCTGGTTGTCCTAATCTCACGGACAACAACCACGGCTAAATCTTTCTGATTTATGCCCTAAGCCGATAAAACTTGAAAAAAAAAAAACAAGGAAAAAAATGGCTGTTGCCGGTTTGCATAACAATGTCTCCCCTTTCAGTCCTTCCTTGTTTGTGGAGTCTCACGCGTCGGAACACAGCACCCGGGCTTCTTCTCTCTTGCAAATGTGGCGAGAGCTCGAGGGAGACCATGAGGTGACCCGTTCTCCTACCTCAACAACACAGAGAAATGACTCAGATTCGGGCTTAAGTACCTCTGTTTCCGAAAATGCCCTTGGAAGTGATAGCAGCATTATATCTGAACAGTCAACCGAGCTCGGAGAAAACGAGCGCGAGCGGGTGAGACATATTTTTCGAGGGTGGATGAATAGTGGGTCCGCAAGCCATTCCCAGCCGAATAGCCGAGAGTGGCTTGGCGAGAATGAGTGTGAAAGGGTGAGAATTATCCGTGACTGGGTGCATACAAATGTTCAGCAGAGAAGCAATGTGGAAGGTTGTGAATCCAGTTCTCATATTGAGCAGGTTCGTGATGGATTAGCAGTCGTTAATTCAGAGATTTGTGGAAGAAGGCCTGTTCGGAGAATATGCGGTAGACAGACTCTTATCGATCTTCTCTTGAGGGCTCAGTCTGAACGAAGGAAAGAACTTCAGGGTTTGTCTGAGCAGAAGCCGGTTTCGGGGTTTGTCCACCGCAATCGCATCCAGGTAATATGTTGTTACATGTTTTTTTTTTTAACTCCTTTCCTTTTTCTCTCACTCTCTCTTTAATGATGCTCATTTATCAGTGTTCCCGTTTTTTAGTTCATTGCCGTGGTAGTTTTTTTCTCCATCCTTTTGGTTTTTTGGGAATCTGGCATTTAGTTAACTATTTGCATACAATGAACACAGCTAGTGTAATAATTTGATTTTCTTGTATGTTGTATTATATATTGGAAAAACTAATTTGGAAAACCTGCAGGCTTTACTCAGAGGAAGGTTCTTAAGGACCGAAAGATCGACCCTGGACAGCAGACCATCATCGGTGGCTGCAACAGAACTCGGTTTGCTAAGGCAAAGACATACAGTTTCTGGCCTAAGGTATGCTCTTATTAACATATATAGCACACAACCACATTTTTGTCCCTTACTGCCTAGTTTCCTGGTATTTTCTAAGCATTTTGTTCCATGTCTTATTGGTGTATCCAAGGGAAATACAACCATTTATTCAACTGAAACATTTTGTGCTCCTTATCTACATTTTTGGGTTCAAGGATACAAAACCTAGGCCCAAATGAAGGGATAAAATATTCTAGAGTGGTGCTGGAAATTGAGACTGGATTATTATATTTGATCTTTTCCATTCCCTTTCCTTTTCCTTTTGTGTGTAAAGGATTGGTTGGATACTGCGTGTACCATTTGTGACACTGCTTGTCAAATGCTGAAATTCATTTTGCTGTCAAGAAATAATAATATTTCACCACATAATAATTATAAATATTTTCTGGACTTTTCTGCTATTTATTGTATTGGTAGATTCTGTCTGGTTTCGATGTTTATGCGAGGACTGTAAATTCGTATCCGAATGTAAATGCTCCACCATATCCCAACATTTCTTGTGTTGATTACTTGATTGCTTTTTAGTGTTATTTTTCAGTTTCGGTAACTTTAATTAAAAACCTTTTCTTCACTCGTTTTGTTCTTCATTTTTTTCACTAAAATACTTTGTGCCTCGATATGGCAATACAGAGAAGGATTTCTCTCCAAATTGGATGATTCTGCTTCTGCTTCTGCTTCTGCGAACAATGCTGAATTTGATACCTTATCTGGCAATGGAAACAATAGTGAATTAGAGACTAGAGACAGGGAAATTGCAGTAACAGACATTCAATATGTGCCAGACTCTGAAACTGTTGCAAATGGAAGCAGAAGTCAGCAAGAATCCTTAGAACACCCGGGATTAGATACTCCAGTGACCCAAACCGAGATGAATATCCGGGAATTGTATTTCGACACTGACAGACGTCAACAAGAAGCATTACACGATGTTGGAGGCGTTCACATTGCAGATGAACCCGTTTTGAACATTGGGGCGGCCGAGCAAGACATAAATACTACTAATGCTAATGAACTGCCCCTTTCAGTTGAGAGTATAAATTATGAGGGTTCTGATGAGATAGCTGATGAACAATATGAAATGAGAAGTGCGAGTTTTGGTCAAGAAACGGTTGTTGATCTTACAACTGGATTGGACGGAAACAATATTGAACAGTTAGACTCGCAAAATGCACTTTCCAGTCAGTGGTTTGATAATACGTCTGTTAACGGTGCAGACGGGCAAGATCAGACGCAAGAATCTCATGAAGACGACGTTTTGCAAGAGGCTATCGATAGTTGGCTAGACATGCCTTCTGGAGATGTTGGTGCATTCGGAAGGATTCATACCTTTTATTTTTCTGATGATGATAATGCTCAGAGTATGGAAATCAGAGAGCTTTTCAGCCGGTATGTGATCTCATTACGCTAACTGGAGTACTTTTAAACACGTAGAAATTGTGATTGTTAGCTTTTCGATGAAAATAAAAACGAGATGTTGATTTGGTTGCACCAAATGACTATTCTGCTAATACGGCACAATTTATTCAGAATCCGGAATCATGGGAGGGGAGTCATGTTAGATTTATTCTGCTTCTGGGTTTCTTTTATGCCTAAATGAAATGCTTATACAGATTGTTGCTTGAACTCTTAGAAAAAAGAAAACTGAGAGATAGCTGCAAAAACCTACTGGCCCCAGAAAAATAAAAAAAATCGGTTAGAGTATCCAAAACAAAGCCGCCTTGAGATTTTGGTATCCTTATGAAGACATCCACAAGTTGTTTCACAATTAGAGAAAGCCATACCTAAAGCAAAATTGACAGCATCCAATCAAACTGTTAATTTTTTATTTCTATTTTCTTTTTCGGTGCAGGAGACATGTCTCTAGCCTGTTACGAAGTGGTTTCCGTGAGAGTCTGAACCAAGTGCTGCAGTCTCATGTGGAAAGGCAAGCTAATGCTTCAGGTGACTGGGAGTCGGATAATTCGTCCTTTTATCCTAACCTAGCTGACCAAGAAGTGAGGCAACAAAGTGATGACCGGGCTCTGTCTCAATCTGAAGGTGCTGATGTGGATTTATTTGCACAAACTTCTGCCCTTGCTCCTGAACCCGAGACTCTTTGGGACTTTGAGTTGCAGAGTGCAAACAATGGCTCAAGTCAGAATATGGGAATGGTAATCTCAGGCATTATATTACCTATATCTGGATTTTAGAACATGTATGTGTAGAACTAAACAAACAGTTCACATTGAATTAAGCATAATAGCCTAAAAGAGAACTGGTTATCTTTCAGAATTCAATATCGGATCTCAGATACGTGTCTAGTTTTATAAGCTGCTCCTTAATACTCAGTAGAGGTTTTTGTTAATTTTTTTATGAAATACATTTGCGACTATTTGCAAGGTGACAGATAGGGCAGTACACAGGTGTTTGTAAAATGCACAGTATCAGAGTTATCAGTTTTATCATTATAATTTTGAAAATTGGAATATCTTGTATGGCTGTTTTTTACTTATAAGCATTACAGTATGTTGGCTACAATACTAAATTTGTTATGGCCATGTATATCTGCATGCCATAAAATCTAGTTGCTTGTTAGGTCTTCTGTTGTTTTGTTTTTTAATCAGGATTTTTGTCCTGCTTTTCTTGTAAACTTATATTGTATCTGCATCAGGAGTGGGAGGTGGTGAATGAGTTGAGGATTGATATAAATAGACTTCAGCAGAGGCTGAACAATATGCAGAGTATGCTCGAACAATGCATGGACTTGCAGATAGAGTTGCAACGTTCTGTGCGGCAAGAGGTCTCGGCAGCTTTGAACCGTTCATTCCCAACACAAGGTTAACTTATCTTATTAATTTATCTCAAATCAAGTGATGACTATAATAAATAATAAATTCATTTTATAATTTGCAGATGAATTATCAAAAGAAAAAATGATTCATGATGAATGTCAATGGGATTTTGTGAGGAGAGGAATTTGCTGCCTTTGTCATGACGGCAAAATCGATTCCTTGTTGTACAGGTAATTGAACAATTGTTTAGATACAGTTAATTTAAATCTCTCTCTCTCTCTCTCTCTCTCTCTCTCTCTCTCTCC